TGAAAAATACTTGAAAAAGCCAGACAAAAATACAGTGACATCAATAAACTTAAAGGCCACGGTACCATCTTCGCTTGCAACAGAACTGCATGGATATTATTGCGAGTCTTAAACTTCAAATGTATCAGATTTAAATGTACAGAACTCAGATTTGTCCTCGTTTCCAGGGCGGGTGATTTTAAACAAGGTTCTTGTCATAACCCCAAGGAGAAAAGGGCGTTGCTGGAATCTATACTTTTGAAATTCTGGCGTTAATCTTAATTTATGTTGAACAATTTGCCAACGGTGGTGACTGGAGATAACTCTCTTCAATTATTCCTGGGATCCTCGTACTATGTAGTAGCATTCTCTTATGAGTAGGCAATTTTGAAAAACATGTGCTAAAAAAGTCAGATTATTTCCGCTTATAAATCGAAAACAAGAATACATTGTTATTCAAGTAGACCATTAAAAAAAATCAAGACAAGTCACAAGTGTACACTGCTATAATAGTTTTCCTGACACCCTTGACTTTAGTTGGGGCGGACACTCAGCTGGGGTTAGTTCATTAAGACTTGAGAGTTTAGCGGTTCTAAATGGATGAATCAATGATTTAGTTCCAGATGGGATCAGATATCGGGTAGCATAATATCCAATCGGGTACCTCAAATAAATCCAGAAAACATAAAACCCCAACAAAGAAATGAAGTCGGGGAAAGAAGGACAAAAAATAAAGGAAAAAGAAGAGGAAAAAAAAGGAAAAAGAAAAGGAAACGAGAAAGATCAAGATACTCATTCCTTTGACAATCACGCTATTAGTGATTAAACTTCAAAACAAAGACATAAACTCAAAGAAGCAGCTGATATCTAAAAAAAAAATTAAAACAGTGCAATGCTTCACAAACAGCTAAATAGTTCCTTGTGATGACCATTTTCATAGAAACTTAAATTCTGTACTCACAGTTTCAGGGTTGGGGTCGAGGATTTTATGTATCAATGATGTCGCAGCCGGAGAAAACCAAAACGGACATGAAAACTGAGCAGCAATGATCTGTACAATGATTAAATATTGAGAAAAATGTCTAAAAAATGTGTATGGTACTGACAGATTATCAAGATGGAGAGCGAGTTAGCATATAAACACTGGCACACTGGCATTTAGTAGAGAATTCAATTCGTAAGTGGTAACAATCCAATTAAATTTCGGAAATCTTTTCTGGTGGATATCATCTTTTCTGGTGGATATCATCTTTCTGGTGTTTACCAGAACCTATGGATTTAGAAGTGAACTTACAGTCCACAAATACAATATTAATAAATGTCCACCAATTTTTTTTTAGAAAATCTTTAGCATATTGCTGAATCAGGTAGCAGCAGAGTTCAATTGATAGGAAAATTTAATACTACTTAAACAAAAGCATGAAGCTTCAAAAAGCATGTTAAGAATGATATTTTGAATCTGTGGTCCAAATCCATGCTTCGATGTATATCATCTGTGACATTTGAAAGCTAAGAATGAACAGATTAACCTTGTTATACAATGAGGGAAGGTCTGGCTCGTCAAATGGAAGGTAACCTGCCATTATAACATAAAGAATCACACCACACGACCAAACATCAGCAGCAGCACCATCATAACCTTGATTACTTAGTACCTAAAGACATTGGAGGTGACAAATCAAGATATTAGCAAAAGAGAATCATGTTCTTCTATAAAGGCAGCCAATAAAACAAGGATACGCGATGTAGAAATATGTAGCTCTGTTGTGTTAGTATCTAACAAAAATCATACCTCGGGCGCAACATAATTTGGAGTCCCACAAGTTGTATGAAGAAGATCAACTCCCTGGACATGAATTCGGTGAAGATGAGAAAAAAAATGTAAACACGGTCGCCACCTCAAAGTAAAACACAAATAGCTGAAAATGGGCATTGTACTTACTTGTTGAGGCAACGCACTCAGTCCAAAATCAGAAACCTTCAAGTTTCCTTTGGAATCAAGGAGCAAGTTTTCAGGCTATACATACAATTTATCACTCAAAATTAGAAAGTGACAAAATGAATGTTTACCTAACTCAATCATTATTAAAGACTGCCGCACACCTTTAAGTCCCGGTGATACACGCCTTTGCTGTGGCAGTGTGAAACTGCATCAATTAGTTGTTGAAAGTATCTCCTTGATTCATTCTCAGAAATCCTGCCATGTTGAACCTGAGCATTCAGAAATACATGAATGGCAGTTGGTCGTGGGCACAATCACAAATATTTCATTCACTGTTGCTTCAAAATAATAGCCTCAAGGAATCTCAAATGCACAAGAAGTAGGCGAAGAAGATCAACGTTTCATCCAGTGTTTCAAAAATTACATATCTTGCCAAATTAATGTTTGTTCACTATCCATTTCATTATAAACAGTTTCAATGCTCAACTATTAGTAATTATAATTAAATTACAAAAAAATCAACTTCATTTTCAGATATAGACTATAGAGTACTTACAATTTTATCAAAAAGTTCTCCTCCGGTCACAAACTCCAGAACTATGTAAATTTTTGTGTGGCTGGATAAAACCTAGAAGGCAGACAAACAAAAACGGAAACGTCAGCAAGATTCACAGCAGATACCTATTGCAGGAGCTATATTAAAATAGATATTTAAATGAAAATCTACATCAATCTGAATTAGTTAGTAGCAGCTTGGCATACCTCATGCAGCTTGACTATACAAGGATGTCTGACAATCTTCATGATGGATATCTCTCGTTTTATCTGGTATCCAACTTTGAAATATTACTAATATGACTTGGTAAAGAAAAATTAAAATCACAAAAACAGAAAGCTCCTGTATAACAGCATTAGTATAATGGGTGCCCGATGCCTAGAAATTACATAGTTTCAATATCACAATTTCTTAAATGTGATTATTTGCCGTATCCAGAATAGTAGTAATCACTGCCCTCATAGAGCTCGTTGCAGCTTCTCATTATTTACAAATTACAAACATATCTCATAATTGGAATAATAATAAAGAAGCCTTGCTATTAGTCACTGCTGCAGTGAAACCCTAACATATAATAAGATAAACAACAATCTCAAGCATATGCAACCATTATAAAAAGTCCCTTTTCAACTAATAAATGAAATCATATAACGCAAACATAGTCAATCGATCGTTGATCGACAACAAGAATGTAAAAAAAAAAATACCTGATCAACCATTTTATGCTTGAGAATGGTACTCTTGGCCAAGACTTTGATGGCAACACTCTCGCCCGTTTCCGTGCTCTGTGCAAATTTAACTTTCGCAAAAGTCCCCTCCCCAATGGTTCTTCCGAGTTCATACTTGCCAACTTTTCTTTTCACTGCCATCATTTTCGATTGACAACGCTCATTTCACAGAGCGTTTCGTTCAACGAATCGCTTACTTTACACAAACACGAACAGCTTCATTGCACACACACACACACAAAAAAAAAAAAAAAAAAAAAAAGTCAACCCTATGTGAAAAATTAAAAAAAAAATGCATAAACATCAATGATCCCAATTCATAAGAAATTAATTCACATTATTGAAATTAACCAACCAGGCATCAAATTAACAACATCAGGCAAACCTCTTTTTCCCAACCATTCAAAAAAAATAAAAAAATGGTGATAATCCAATCGATCACAGCATACACAAAATAATCGAACTCAAAATTAAAATGATACCAACATAAATTCCAAATTTAAACATGCATGTGTAATATAAAATGAATCTTCACTACCCGCTGCCTAATTCTGGACTGTAAATTAGCCACAAAAAAAAAAAAAGGAAGAACAAAATTGCAATAATCCGATAAAAATGAAAATACAGCCGTGTAATTTACCACGTCCATCACAAGGGAGAAAATATACCGTTTGCAGGAGGCTGGGATCGCCGCGGATAACTGAATAAGATCCGATCGCCGGAGCTAAATTAATGATTATTTTTCGTAATTTTAACTGAGTTTTACCGAGTTCACAGCGCAGAGAGAGAACAAGAGAGGGAAAGGTGATAAATTTTGACCACTCAGATGTAGTAAATATCTATATATACACATAGTTTTTAGGGTAAAATTCATTTTCACCCCTTACTTTTCACTCAATCTTCATTTTAGTCCTTTTACTTTCAATTGACTTCAATTTCATCCCCATTCATTTTAATTTTAATAATAATAACTAATAATAATATTATTATGATGTTATTATTAAAAGTGTATTTATATTTTATACCACTACTCATCTGTTATAATATAAAAATGAAAAACACAAACGATGAATTGTTGGAGATAGGCATATGTACTTAATTACTTTGAAATAAATATTACACCAAACATAAACACAAAAAATAGAACAAGTTCAGAGGAAGAAGATATAATAGAACGAGACAACTTGAATACATGGAGTTGTTAATATATTTAATGGCTCAGTTCCCTCACACAGTCCAGTCGATTCATTTTGTTCGGAATATCCAAATGGAAGCATCACTTATAGGTTTCAAGAACGAACCATTCACCCAGACACAGACATCTTAGATATCACTCGAGTTGATCACCAACACATGTACAGTCAACCAATGAATAATAAACACTCATCAAATTAAACCCAGTATTTCACTCAAAAATATTCAATGTACTCATAGAAAACTAATATTGAAGACAAAAAGTGGTTTGAATTTGAAAACAATGTATTAATTACTCTTAGATGATCTCTCTAGCATTAAATGTGCTCCATAGTCAAGGTCTCCTATTGTACACTGAAGACTGTAGAGTGTCACCGGAAAAAGAAAATGGGTGACGGAGGTACTGAAAGAAGAGAGAGAAGAGAAGAGAGACGCGGCGGAAGAAATGAAAGAGAGATGAAGGTTGAGAGAATCTTTCAAATGACCGGTAGATGAACAATCAAGATTAGGCAAGAAAAGAATGGATGATCAAGATCACTCAAGTTAGGTTTTCTTGAATCGGGAATTGCTTGAAATCTTTCGTCAAAATACTTTCAAGTATCAATAAATCCAATTTCGTCAGCCAAAATTAGTGTTACATAAATTGGATTACGATTTTTAGGTAATTTGGTAAGAGTAGTACTTGAAATTATAAATTTGTCATGATAAACACATGCAACGTGCATGTGTATATTTGCCATAAATATGTCTTGTCCATCGGTAACTGAGATACACCAAATATGCAAATAAATACTTACTGGTGAATTTTATTGCAAATTGATGGAACAAATCATAAATAAAATATGGCATCAAAATTAAGTCAAGTAGTGGATTGATCATATACCAAAACGAACCGCCGCAATGGCGTAAATGATGATTTATAGTAATTCCGATAAATGATATATAAGTTGTTAAAACCTAAAGCCGGGTAGCCAGTTCAGTCTGCGACGACACTTGGGCATTT